AGAGTGGCGGATAAACTAGTGACCAGAACACGGCGCTCTGGGGTGGCAAGAAGTCCTTGCTGTCCTTGTGCAACGTGCCTCTGAATCGTATTCGGCACTTTCCTGGCCTCAAAGTTCATGGTCATTTAAAAGGCATGGTAAAGGACAAAACGGAGGTTGTTCTTTATCTCGATACACGAGTTCAACGCTTATCTTTTGATTTGCAAAAGCCGGTCCGCAGTGTTGTCCGAGGAGTAAGCTGTAGGTGGAGTTACAGCTCCTGGGGAGGTTCTCAAGTTAGGCACCCTTGCTCTTAATGCTCTGTCATTCTCCTGTCCCTAAAAACACACGCTGAAGGCGATAGTGTTGGGAGAAGGAAAAGACGATCACCCATTTTTTTGGCTCAAATTAAGGTACAGAAAACAGTAGTGCAATGGGCTGCATTAGAGTTGCAGAACTCTGGATTTAACTGTAGAATCAGCCCTTCCCCAGTTGGAGATCTCTGACACTTTTCTTCTGGCCAGTACAGTCTAGTAAATAGAAACTCGTTCAATATTTGCGTGGAAGTATGTTCAGTGTAACCTCCATAAACCTTTAATGTGGGACTCGGCAGCTGAGCTGGGGATGCCTGAGCTGGCACACAGGTAGATCATGAGTTGATAGTGGGGTCTATAAGTTGCTGCTGAGATCCAGGTTCAGTGGACGCTACTAAAGCAATTGGTGGCCATTCTTCCCTTTCCCTAGTTAATAAATGTAGCCATTTGTAAAATTCTTAAATGTGAATAAAGCCAATGTTTTGCATTGGTCTGATAACATAGTTACATACATTGCAGACTTCTCAAAATACATTTCTTTATGTTAATGTGTTTTGCCCAGTCCTCATGCATTTCAGAAACCAACTAAGGACGACACTAATGGGAGCAGAGCATGCTTTTAAGTTAATATCCAGCCCAGCCCAAATCTTGAGACAGAAAACTGTCTCTGCAGGCCAGTCGGTGGAGTAAGTGAAATGGCTTTGGTTTCCCCTTTAACCAGAGCTGGCCTCGTGCAACATCTCACATCCTCTTTCTGGTACAAAACAGCAAAGGGCGGAACTAAGCCCAGAAAGAGACAGTCCATCCTCCTCCTCACAGAGCTGCTTCCAGCTTCTGGGAGCTGAGGCTTACTATGAGGAGGAAGGATGGATAATGATGTGCCTACAGCTTGTTTTAGAAATGGCATCAGAGCAATATGGGAGTTTCACACAAAGCATTGTACCAATACACCGTCGTTCACTGTGCTTGGATTTATGTACAAGGGTATAATTTAGCCTTAAAAAAAACCCACAGGTCATGATGCTTAACTGCAGTGATGATTCACCTACTCATATAAACGATCAGATTAAACTGTAAGCTGCTTCCCATCATCGTTCACTGAATAGAGCTGCTAAGAAAGCTGGGGATGTGTGTGTGACATGCTGGGAACTTACTGCAATCTAGTAGAAACATGATAAACATCTACACTATATGATCCCAATTAAATGGCTGCTCACATGTTTCTCTGGTGAGTAACTAAGAACTCAGTCTCTGATTCCTACTTTAAATACCTTTAAGCCTTTCATTTCTTTAGATGAAGTTTCAGTGCAGGAAAATACTGGCCTCACATGTATAGAGGAGCAGATCACAGGGTTCCCTAAGGTGTCTCAGATTTTATTTAACTGCACACCAGTTGCTTAGGCTTTAGAACAGAAATTATTTCATAAGCAAGCACCTTTGTGCTTGTGAGAAGCTTAAAAAACAAAGCCAAAACAAACCCCAACAAAAATTACTTATTTTTTGTGCCTAGTTAAGAACTTCTGCAGCAGATAGCTGGGATTTTCTGAGAGGCAGCAGGGAAATAGCCAGAGCTGGTGACAATTCCTCCTGGATGTCTCACTGTCATTCCATCTTTTTGCACTCATTTTACATACTATCAGATCAGTTGCTTCCACACACTGTATTTTGTTTCATACAAGAGGTAAATTCTGACTAAAAAGCACTTTATACACATTTGAAATATTAACTGCCTAGAGTCAGACTGCATTTGTGAGAGTAACTTGTCTGATACCTTCTAGTCCGGTGTCTACTCTGTAAATCAGAGCATGCAGGCCCAGGCAGTACTATGTAATTTCAAGTCCATAAAGTAACCCTTACTGTCACTGCTAAGTGAAATATTTCTACCAGAGATAAGTCTACCTGTGAGATCCTCACACAGAGCCAGTTGTGGCTGTTTCTCAGTTCTGAAGTGCTACGCAGGCACTGCCGCAGACACTAGACTGACTGCGGGGAGGAGCTCAGTGCAGAGCAGCCTGTCAGTTGGCTGTGGTCACTAAACGAGTCCTTGGGCAAGGGGTGGGAAGCAACAGTTGACATGGACTGAGTAGGTTCAGTTCCCACTCATTCCTTCCTGTGGTTTCATTACATTTACTGTCAGCCAGTTTGCTATAAATAATGAACAGCTACCATACAATTGCATATGAAGTATTTTAATGCCACACTGAAGCCAATTTTTTGGGTAATAACAGTGATTTCATGCTATGAATTTCTTTCTTGGTAGTTCTCATTGCATCATGACCTCTTTTGAAGAAGCTGAAACTGAAGAAACAGTAACCTGTCTCCACATGACCTTTTACCACCCTTGCCAAGAAGACAAGATGATGTTTCGGTGCCTGAATTTCTGTAAGCGGGAGCAGGTGAGGGCAGATGAAATGGCCAAGTTTGGCCGTGATTCTAACATCTGCCATTACAACTTAATGGATACTCGTGTGTCTCGGATTCAGTTTTCCTTACAGTTTTACAGGAAACTGAACAGCTCAGAATTTTGTTTTGAGATAAAGAACATGAGCAAGAAAACAAAACTGATTGTGGACCAAACAGAACTGGGTTACTTAAACAAAATCGACCTGCCATGGAAGTGCATAATTTCTTTTGGGGACTACCGGATCTTAACAGAGATTCAAGAAGGGGATTCCGTGGATTATTTTGAGACTTACTTACACCTGGCTGAAGTGCCAATCTTACAGGAAAGATGCCTGCCTTCCCTGCAGCCTGTGCCAGAGAACGGCTTTTCTTCTTCCTCGTTTCCTTCCCAAGGGAAAAGCCCCATCGAGATTGACGAAAACGAATCTTGCTAGCAGGGAGAAAGAGCCTGCATTGGACTTTAAACATTTGAAACTGCAGTTTCCAAAATTTAATGCTGTCATCTTGGTCAGCTGTGCTTGATGGTTCTCACCCTTGCACCTCTTACCTGCTGTTTTCAGCACAGATGCACCAGAACGTTCCGTTCAGCAGAAGCGGCTCCTGCCGCGGCCTTCACCGAGGTGCGCGTGCCTTCGGGCCACCGTTTGCCAGAGAAATGGGTGGGAGACAGAGGGCCACCCAAATCCATTGAGAACTGTGACCACATACCTTGAAGGTATATTTAACAGGCATTAATAGAGAGCATGCAGAGCAGTGTTTTAGCCCCAGCCTTGGTTATTAGCTAATTAGGGACATGTCTTGCTGCCTTAGTTATACTTTGTGCTTTGCTTTTTACATTAAATTCCACACAGTATTTTCAAGCCTAGGTTTTAACTTCCTAGATTTTGCAGCTTAGAAACACTTTGTCAGCATAGTCCTTTAAAGTTAATGTTTTTATTCATTTTGCAGAAAGATTTTTCTTATATTTAAGATTTTTTTTTTCCCCAGAGTTAACTACTTTTGCTTGTCAATGTAAATAAATACGCTGTATCAGTGATCATGGTATGTAAAAATCCAGATAAGTTTTGTAATAGAAGTATTTGGCTGCCTGTTCTGCCAATGACCAGGCCCAACAAAAATGATACAGCCAACAGGAAGATGAACCAATACACAGACTGTATTGTATACAAAAAAGACATTCCATGAATGATCGCTGGGGTTACAAACAGATCAATCAGCTGGTACATGATTGACACTACCCCCAATGTTCTCACAAAGGACATGACTCAGCCCACAGCAGGTGGTACAGAGACCTGAGGTTGCCCACAGCTGGCATGGGAAACAGCCAGACCAGCAAGTTAAATACATAAGACAAAGGTGCCCACATGGCGACTCTCACCCGATCAGCCCATGTTCACAAAGGTCTAAACAGACCAGGGCCCAGCTCCAGGGAGAGTCAGGAGGTCTGCCCTGAACCAGGAAGCTCTGTGGAGTGCACTCCACAGACAGACACTCCTGACTCCCTGCAAGTGGTCCCAGCTTTTATCCCCAAGCAGACCCCTGACCTTTGTCAACTCACTGCGGGACCCCTGGGGCTCATTTCCCTTCTGGCTCTCCCTGCAGGGCTGGCCGCACCCTGGGGGGAAGCTATAAGGCAAACTCACCACCTCTGTATGAAGGGCTGTGGGAATCACCCATATGTCAACCTTAATTTGGGGCTCAGGGTTCAGACCCCAGCATTTCACTGCCTAGTGAGGGTTTGCTGTCTTCTTCAACTACAATCTACAAGCACTTACAATGAATAAAATCATTTCCAGAACAATCCAGATGAAAAATATTCACTGGCACTTTCTGGGCTTTCTAAAAGTGGCATTGCTCCAAGATCAGACTTGACTAGAATACTTTCAGCAAACTTTCTACCTCTACCCTCCACCCCAAGCTCTCTTGCAATTTTGATTTCATTGAAGTATTCCTCAGGCTATTTCAGGTTAAGCTTTTCTTTGCTAGGGACTCAGCATTTCATTGGCATTTGTTTTTTGTAAAGTATTTTGGTCTGTTGGAAAGAATCAGAACAGAGCATATAGAAGAGTTACATACATCTTACCATCCCTAAACATGAAGAGGCATTTCAGCATTAATCATTAAAAGAACACCAGAGTTATAAATGAGGGGAGGACAGCTGAATTACACAATGTAACCAGAGATTAAGGCAAACAACCACAAGTGAAAGTCAGGGCGAGGCAGTGAAACTCAAACAACAGGCTTATGTCTTCATTAGTCTATTCATCTCATCCTTGCCAAAAATTCCTTATTCCCAGTGTTTTCTACTCTTTGAATTAGGCTCTGGTGCTTAATTCTTAAAGCCTAGATCTACTATTCAGCCACCACCATCTTGCCACAAGTGCGTGTGTCACAGACCCAGCCCCTCAGCCTCACAAAACAAAGCTGAGCAGGCATCCCTGTGTCACCAGACACTGTGCTACTGGTTGCACACTTCCAGTCAGTGTTGGCTGCTTGCCTTCCCTAGGCTTTGGACCTGAGCCTTCCTGCTCTTTAATTAGGCAGAGCAACCAATACCTGCAAATGCATAATATTGATTGTGTTAACTGCTTATGCCTTCTGGACTAGTGTCTAAAGAAAAAGTGATAACTCCAAAATTTCAAGTACCATATGTATAACCAAAAGTATTTACAAACCTACCAGATGAAAATCTTCTGTCTGATCTGCAGAGTGCTACATCTCAGTGGATTTTGTATTCACTCTGTACAATTGGGCTCTACAGATATTTACAGATCTAGAGTGGAGCATTCCTTAGGCATATCTCCAGGAACAAAGCCATAGAAGAAAAAAAAAAAACCAACAAAAAACCACTACCTATTTAAGTTTCCAAACACTGAAGTTTTGACAACTGTATTTATCTGGGATAAAAATTCAAGCTCACAGTACACATTAAAAAAGAATGCTATCACCACGTTGGTTTGACCCGCAGAAGTTTGATTGAAGAAGAGTTGCTTCAGCACAGACATACCAGAACATAATTTTATTCACTGGAAACAGATTCTACTTCCACCTTGCCCCACAACCATGTTAGCAGTGCATGACTAATGGTAAGAAATACTACACACACACACAGAGGTAGCTACTATTTCGTGTAAGTTTTTTGTGACTGCTTGGACAGCTGAGCCAAGCAATCATGGAATAATAAAAATCAATAAGAATCAAACACTGAAACCAAGTAACCAGTATTTTAACCAAGTAACTCTGAACAGACTACCCAAAAAAGTCATATTAAATGATTTTATATTCAACAATAGGTCAACTTTAGCATAGAAACATGTATAACCAATGGATGCAGAACTTTGTAAAACACAGTTGCTCATTTCCAAGAGAAGGGCTCTGCTCACTAAGTCCCTCATCTCCTCTATTACCAAAGCCTGTTAGAACTTCCTTCCCAAAGAAACAGGTCTCAAGAAGGGACGTGATGGAATTCAAAGACAATTATTTATTAAAATCTTCCTTAGCTGGTTGACTCAGAAGTAATTTGAGGTAACATTTAAACAATGCATCTTCACATGCTGTTTTCGCAGTCTATGACACAGCAACCACAAAACCAGCAACAGATAAAACATTGCCAAATGTAATAAGCCTGACTGAATTTGTAGCTATGCATTTTACAGTACTGTTGAATCATTTCACATGTATATAATCTTTCCATTTATGTTTCCACAAATATTGACCATAATTTAACTCACTCAGTGTGGTGCACTGAAAAGCAGAATGCTATTAACCATGGCTGCAGAACACACCATCATAGTAAAAACCTCCAGCTGGATTCAACTTCCTTTTCCCAAGTACTTGTTCAGTCTACAAGCAGGACTATCAGCTAGTTTAGCTCCTCGAAGCATGGTCAGGACAAGTTAAACTCATTTTCACTGGTCAGAAAAAGTAGCGACCACTGCAGGGTACCTTAGTTTCACCAAGTAAAAAACATGTTATCTACAAGTTGAGAAAGTTGACTTTGTTTCCATTGGAATATTATACAAATATATGTTCAGAAGAAGTTACACGGTGGTAGCTTATGCCAAACCAAAAATATACATTTGATGCATACAAATTTTTAAAGCTTCTTACAGGCACTGCAAAAGCAGATATATTATAATATATTCCATGACATAGCTACAATTTAAATTAAGAAATGGAATGTTAGCGATGAGATGTACCTGTTCCTTAGTGTTGATATTTGTACATAATCCCAGTGTACAGTATTTTTGACGAGTTATCATGAAGCGGATCATACTGTAGTGACCCTTTTATTACATATAGGCTCAGATTTAAAACAGTGAGACAACTTTTACCAACAAATTCTGTTCTTCCAGGGATACAGATTTACTACTTCACACACTGTGTTGCCTTTACTCCACAATGGTGAAGTTACTCCCTGTCCCCATCTCAGCAGGGAAAAACCAGACAGCTGCACAAAATAGTAGATTAGAATGACTTTACAGAAGCTTTGGGGAAAGCTTGAGAACTGCAAGTGTTCTGCACATTCCCTTCAGTGTGCTTTGTCTCTTTTTAAAAAGTTTAACTTACATTAAATGTTATCTCTCCCTACTAGCAGTATTAACCATCCAGTTTACAGGCACAGGGAAGCTAGGGCACTGAAACATTCTTTTCTAGCTGGAACTTTTTAAAACGCAGATACAAGAATTCAATCTTTAGGTTCTTGTTCTTCCCACCCCAGGAGAGCAATTATCCCTCCCCTACTTTGCTCAGAAAAAGTTGCTTTACAGTAACAGTTGAAGTCAAGATGAATCATATTTAAAATATTTTAAAGTCCAGGTAGTAACAGATTTGAGGGGAAAAAAAAAAAAAAAAAAATCAAGACTTTGGTCCTCCCAGTTCTCTACTAGACACTGGTTAAAGTTTCCAGTTTGACACAAATTTTTACAGTTGTTTTTCTATCTAGCACACATTTACTAAGTCTGGCATATTATACAAGACAACATCTTACCTAACCTGATGATTTGTACTATGTTTATTGATGTTAACTGTACTTAGCATAGAGTAACAAAAACAAACAGAAAGAGGACAATGCAAGGCTAGGAAGACTATAAGCTCAAAAGGTAAAAACTCCCATTTACCATGTGTGAAATTTGCTTTGCAACTGGCTAAATACACACCCTCTAAATGACTAAAAACTAAGTCAAAAATCACATATAAGAAATAAAACTTTTAAAAATTATTTTTCTATATTCAAGTATTAGATAAATTATATAAGACTATTTCTGAGATAAACGTTAGGCCAATGATGAGTTTTAAGAACAAAATCAGTAGAAACATCATCCAGAAAAAAAAATTGATTAAAATATAGATATGTCAAGCTATGAAGCTCACCTTAGTGCAGATAATTTTATATTAAATCCAGATATCCAGAAATATACACAACAGAATCATC